TATGTCTTTGTGCTAGAACATTGTGTTCATTGGCGAGCGAGCGCAGCGAGCCATGGTTCACGGGGTGAACCACATAGGATTGCGTAGCAATTCTCGGGGGTTGGCGAGCGTTAGCGAGCAGGGGGCGGAGCCTCCTAGTATATATATAAATAAATGACCACGAACTTTCTGCAAAGAAAAATACTATTTCCAAATTTATAAATCACGCGAGTCTTAACTCGAAATTTTAGTTTACTATCTTTCTTAAATGTGACTCTTCTTTTATATCCTCTTGAGCTTTAAGTAATGGACATAAATACGAATATTTTTTAGAAGTATGTAGCTTAGGAGGATATAAACTCATAAATGACATAAAATATTTTCTAGAAAAGATTTAAACACAACCTAATCTTTTTTGAGATTTTTTAAAAATTAAAGATAAAATTATAAACTTGAATGTTTAGCACTTTTTATGGTCTATTATTTTGGTCATGAAGCAAAATCCAATAAACTCTAATGACGAGATATTCATAGGCCAAGACTTTCTTGAATTGAATTTTTACCCATCTCAAAATTTTTCATTATAATTAAAAATACGAACAACGGGTGTAAATCCAATTACATTTTACTTTGTTATACATTATTAAATTGTAATTTTTTTTAATGTGAAACGTTTTGTAAAATGGTATATAAACAGTAAAACAGCTTGAAATATTAATTTTTAAGCGTTATTTACGTGATATACCTTTCGGGCGCGATCTCTCTCTGTTCCACAGTAAAGTGGTCATTAATGAAGGTTGGTCATTCATAGGGGTTACTTTCATTGACTTCAAAATATTATTGAAGGTTCATGAATTTTCGCAAACGATTTTAATTTAAGATTTAACATACGATTTTAATTTTGATATTTTTCTTGTTTTCTTATTTGACCTTTTCCGCATTTGGTGCAGAAGTTTGCTTGGTCGCTAGGAGAGATTTTATTTTCTCTCCTAAAAAGTTTCTTTAACACAAAGTCTGAATAAAAAATTCCGTGCCGCCCAAATGTGGTCATAAATAGAGGAGGTCGCTACTTTTCCGGAGGTTTCACTGTATTTATTTTTAATTACCAACTTACAAATTAGATGCAATTGAAATTCAGCACCATGAACTATAGGAGAATAACTGAAAAAGTTCTTGCAAAATTTCATTAATTTCAATCGAATCGACGCAGCCTGCTTAATTAAAATGTTTTCAATTTATTGGTTTGTTAATTAACTTTCTTCTTACTTAAAAATTAGTATTTAATTCGTATCTAATTTTTAAGAGTCTTTTTGAATTTGAGGATTTAGGTCCATTTCTTTAGGTAAATCAGGTTCTGGTTGTAATTGTACTTAGTATACAGAATAGTTTCCACAGGAATATTCTAATACCGGCTTGGTTTGGGTTCTCTTCTGATCCACCACTTGAAGTAGAATTTTGTGGTTGAGTTGGCTCTTGGTTGCTCATGGCTTCTGAGGAAGGAACACTTTAGTACTAAAAATATCAATTAAAATAATTATTCATTGCTTTTTAATAAAAATGCATGTTCATTTTATTTAATATAAATTAATAAAATACTTTATAATTAATAAAATACTTTATAATTAATTAAGCTAATTGAAGAGCTGATTTGAAGAATGATTTCAGTGAGTTTGAATAAATTTGCTGCAAGGTTCATGCGTTGCTAGTTTTTGTTACTTAGCTAAATATCATTAGTATAGTTAAAACTCAGGAATCTAATAGAAAAAATAAAGAAGCTCAAACCTGTCTACAAACTGTAAAGTACCCTAACGTTGCACGTTTTCATCCAGCTGTTTTTTTATTTTTTTTTTTTTGGATGGAGAAGGAAATTTACATACTACTATTTAAACAAAATGAGGGATTTAAAAATGTATTTTTACTTAGACTTGAGTGAGGCCGATACAAAGACGAACGGACTTAACGTCTGGTTTCTTAGGATAAGCGCCTTATCTGGGCGTCAGTGTTAAGTTGACGTTACCCTGACGCCAACAAAATACTGGTTTGTTAGCTCAAGGCATGGTATCTTAAGAGAAGCGTCTTAACTGGGCGTCAGCGTTAAGTGATATAATTTTGACGCCATAAAAATACCGTTTTGTTAGCTCAGCGTGAACAGTCGGTCCAACACAGACATTATCTCGCATTGCGCATGCGTTAATAACGTAAACAAATATTTATTTTGAATTCGTATTGATTTTGTGATTGTTGACCCGTGCTTTAAAGAACAAATAATGACTTTGTCCAAGAAAAAACACATTATAGCTTAGCTAAATGAAGAAGAAGAGGAAAAAGAAGCTATGTTTAATGTTAAAATTAAAATCTTGGCTGAATTCAACGCTCTGCTGTTGGCTGTTGTCCGACTTTGCTTCTGTTGTTAACGTCACGTTGTAATCCAACTGCAGTTGATTTGGACGGCAGTTGTCGTTCAAGCTGAGCGTTCGATGACGTATGCTGTCAAACTCATAATTGACCAATCAGAGGTAAACGTTCGTTTCAAGCTGACGCCGACGTTTCCTAAGAAACCAGGCCTTAAGCGATAAAATTTTTTAATAATACAAGTTCTAGTTTATACCTATATTGCACCGCAAAATGTTTATCCAATGTTATCGAATGATGTATTGTTTCCTATGATTTTTTATAACGCTGAATTGAATAAGAATAAACACAAGTGAATAAGCCTAATTAATAAGTTGCAATGTTTTCATGTATGCCGTAGTCATTACTTTATGCCACTTGCCAATACCAGCAATACTAATTGAAATCAAGCTAAATTTGAGGCAAAATATTACTTTTGACAGTATTATATATGACAATATTATGTATAATATTAAAATATCAGCATCAATAATTTTCAATGACAAATATTATATAAAAATATTTGTCGCTGTTTATTATTGCTTATTAAAATGTTTTTTTTTTCCAAATTAGCTTCTCGTTTCTTAATTATATTGCATTTAAACCAGGGTTGGCAAGATTTTGCCGCAGGTGGAAAAAACCATGGTAAATACCGGTAAAAACCGTCCTGGCAAAAACAAGTTTTTGCCAAGCAAATTGGCAAAAAGTGGCACAAACCAATATTTTCCAAGATGAGAGGACAAAAACACATTTTTGGTACAAAATTATTCCTAAAATTGAAATATATACTATAAATATAAATAATTACAAAAAAATTAACAAAATTATTATTCCATAATTAAATGATAATGTAATAATATATCATTTTAGTAGTTTAAAACATTATTGATTGGAAAATTTGTGATTATTCTCTTTTTTCCAGTGAAATGAACTTATTTTAAATTAATATAACTATAATTTAAAGCATAAAANTTAATGAAACAAATTCTAGTTTGTACCTATATTGCACCACAAAATGTTTATTCAATGTTATCGAATGATGTATTGTTTCCTATGATTTCTTATAACGCTGAATTGTATAAGATTAAACACAATTGAATAAGCCTAATTAATAAGTTGCAATGTTTTCATGTATGCTGAAGTTATTACTTTATGCCACTTGCCAATACCAGCAAGCCTAATTGAAAGCAAGCTAATTTTAAGGCAAAATATTACACGCGACAGTATTATATATAACAATATTATGTATTATATTAAAATATCAGCATCAATAATAATCAATGACAAATATTATATAAAAATATTTGTCGCTGTTTATTATTGCTTATTAAAATGTTTATTTTTTTTCTTTCAAATTAGCTTCTCGTTTCTTAATTATATTGCATTTAAACTAAGTTCCTTGTATTTCAACCTTACATTATACTAACTAATCAGTGCAAGTAATATTGTAAATTACGAAATCTGACATAAGAACGTACTTTCTTAGGATAAACATGCCTTTGATTTTCCGATAGATTCGGATTTCTGACCCGCAAAATACGGAAGGTAACCGCAATCTGCAAAATTTGATCTCAATAATTAGGTTCAATAAAAGAGATCCAAGGTTTGGACCCCTTAATCTTTCTTTTACTTTCCGCGCTTTCGTTATGTCTCGAAAACTTTTTAAATGAATCGAAACCTTTTTTTACACAACTATAAAATTCATTTATCAAGATAATTCTATAGAAAAAAAAACTTTTACTGAATATTTCCTACTTTTTATAGTCTTCTATAAATTATAGTCGAAAAAATTTTGAATTGTAAAATAATTTTTTTCCATTTAAAAGTATTTTTTGCCATTTTTGCTGCTTTAAAGACAATAATTTTTGCATGGCAAAACAAAAGATTTGAGCAAAATCGGTCAAATAGATACGGAGAGAGAAATTTTTAAAAAGTCGTGATTTTAAAATTACATTTTTTCTTTTTCTTTAAAATTACATATTTTGAAATGGTGTAAAAAATTTTATCCCTTAAAAATTTTAAAAACATGTTTGACTATAATTAAATAAAGTAATGAAAAACAATTAGTATTTAATTTTTATTTTATTTTTATTTTATTTTTATTTATCTAAAAGTCATGTTTTGCATGGACTTATCCTTGGTTAAACGAATTTTTAATTGCGTTCAAAAAATTTTCAATTCACTTAAGAAATTCTTGAGATATGGTGAAATATGCATATAGTTAAATTAACATTAAAGGGTGCAAACTTTGACCCTCTGTCCTAATCAAACAAAGGGGGCAATATTACCCATATTTTGGGGGCCAAAAATTTAAGTCCATCATAAAAAAAGTACGTTTGTTCATAGAAATTGTGCTTTTTGTGTTTGATTTCATAACTTTAAGTATCGTCTGCACTAATTAGCATATTTGCGGTCACTCCTCAAACAATTAAGGTTGAATTCTGGAGTGTGAGGATCCGATCAGTAAATAAAAAGTAATTCAAGGTGGTTCGTTATTATTATTATTATTAATTTATATATTTGTTAGTTTTCATTTTTTTATTTTATTTTATTTATTTATTTACTTTTATTTATTTATTAATTATTTTTTGAGCATTCTGCAATTCTATATCAAGGAATGAAAACATAATAGTTCGATGTAGCTATAAAGAATTAATTATTAAAGTGTATTTATGAAGAATTATTTAAAAAGTTTTATTAAAGTATGATTTTTTTTAACTTTTCATTTTTATATTTCTGTAATATATACTAACATTTACTTTAGTAAATGGTAGAAAATTGTTTAAAGTATACACTGTCGCAAAATATATTTTTAGTAAAAGGCTTGATCAAAATAAGTCTAGGGTTGTAATTAGCAATATGATCGCTTTTCCCACATTGCCTAAAGCACGAATAAGTTTTAACAGATTTATTTCGCTTTTAAGTTTTGCCAGAAAAATTATAGCAAAGTCAAATCCACCATAAATTACTTTAATTATTTACCAGTGTAATTCCTGGATGTGAAATTTCCTTAAAATCTTAAAGAATATCATTTTTACCATGCCGAATAATGTGCCATTTTTTAATATTTTTATGCATTTAAATCCAGTATTTCAAGTCAGGTAGTAGGTTTCTAAAAGTTACGTAATAATCAAATAAAATAGTTCAGAACACATTCTATTGAAACATGCCGAAAACTAGTACAACATTACATTTTTAATTAATCAGTAGTGTAAAAGGGATATTTCGTAAGAAAAGGAAATAATTGGTTAAAAATTATAATAATAATGATAAACATAACTATTTTATTCCATTTTACCTAAAAATTTATACTTAAAACAAATCCGAATAAAAATTCGAAGTTAACATAAATAACTCTAAACGTTTTTAAAATCTTTCGTCAGTTACAGGTCTTTAAAAATTATTGCACAATATTAATAGAAAACAATTGTAATTAAAATATGTATCGTGCATCAATTAAAATAAATAACTAATAACCACGTTCATAAACTATATTAATACCTATCGATTTCAACATCACACTCGTTGAGTAATGAACGAAATAATTTTAAAAAATTCATTAAATGGCTTTTAAAATGCCACTTACGTAAAAAATGATAAATACAGAATTATTTCGTTAAATTACAAATGAACTATCTAAAGTTATAAATTTTTTATTAAATAAAAAATATATTCACTTTAAAATAAATTCTTAAAATTTATTGAGGGGGACACACTACGCCTATGATTGGGACACCGGTATCTCATCTGTGCTGTGTCTGTGTTGAACGGTTGAGAAATAAAAAGCAGTGGATTATTACTATATAAAAATTACTTTTATAGAAAAGACTTACCAGTGCCTTCTATGAAATTCGCCTGTATCAGATTAGAGATTTAATCGTCAACGATTTTTTTTAGTCAAAAGCCTTTACGTCTGAAACGTAATTCAACTGTTAGCAAAGTAATTCTACTTATTCACCAGTTACGAAAGTAACAGAGAGATGACTGACGTAATCGGAAGCCATGGATGTCATCGGATGGAATATTTGAAAGCGATACTATCAGTTGCCCTAAAAAAATAAATGATGATGAGAGTTTAATTTTCAATCTTGATGAAAAAGGATCACGTCTACTGCGTTAACAAATTTTATCTTCCGGGATGTTTTTTCTCCTAATTTGGAAAAGCAATAGTCCAGCTTACTCTCGATACCTCAAAGTTGAAGGGACGCTAAAAAATTTTCCAGATAGCGAGTTTTTTAAAATAACAAGTTCGGAGCGAAATATGTTCTAAAATGTAGAAAAATGTATTCTAAAAATTTTTTCTCTAAAAAGTAGAGTCATGAAAACATAAGAATAACTACGATCAAATATGTATGTAATGATAGTTGACTATCAGTCTAAACACAGCAATGATCATTCTATTTTTAAAAGAAAGAGAAAAATAATTATGTATTAAAAAAAAAAAATTGGCTTACAATAAATCTACTTTGCGATCTTTCCAAAAAAATTCACTTTCAAATCCGAAAAAAATTTCCCATAACAAGGTTTTGAAAAGAAATTCTTCGAATAGGAATTCAAATTAACATTAGCTGGATATCTGCAAAGGAGAAAATTATTTTTTTGACATAACAAGATTTTCGTTATTTGTGATATCAAGATCATATCAAGATATAAGTATCTGTTTCGAAGTTTAGCCATATGTAATCCGTGGAGATCGAGATTCAGGCAGAAAGTAAAGGTTTATTAACAGAAAGCAGACAAATAGTTACATACAAATTTAAAAGGAACGCCATCTGGCGGTATTAAGAACAAAAAGACTTCATAACAATCCTTCCCTGGGAATGACAACACTACATATTTTATCTTTCAAGTTTTTCGTTTGTAAATAACTATTCGAATAAATTTTTATTTAGAGCATGAATTGAATTTGTTATTAGATATGATAATTAGTTTTTAAGGCTCAAATGTTGAATTGTTGTAGTTTTAATATATTTACGTCGCACTAGAGCTGCATGATACACTATTCGCGACGCCTGGAAAGCAGAGCCGTCTTAATGGCATGCAAAACAGAAATGTCTTGGGCCCTTTTAACATGAACATGTTAAAATCAAACTCAAGACTTCACTTACATTAAATAAAGCATTCTGGGCCGGGATAGCCTGGTCGGTAGGGAGCTGGGCCTATATCCAAGAGGTCGTGGGTTCGATCCTCGCCGGCCGAAGACTCCCCGTGTAGTAAATGGTGACTGATGCACGTTAAATCTGTCGAGTCTCAAAGTCCTCCATGTTCCCACAACAAATCAATACCTCTGGGGGTACTGATCCAGGAGTTTCCTTGTCTTCTGGATTGGTTCAAAATTACAAGGCTACGGAGTTGAACGTTAGTAGTCGTAAACCCATGAAATTGGGTCGGCTGTTCAACGACGGTTATAAAATAAAATAAAAAATAAAGCATTCTTAAGGTATTCAATAATTTTAACAAATTTAAACACATTTTGATTATCCAAAAACTCAATGCACGTAAAATAAAGTTTTTTAAACTATGCATAATTAAAAAAAAGAGAGATACTAATCAGCTGCAATCCTCAAATAAAAAAATAATTTCAAAACTATGGAAGCTAATTAAAATAATTAAGTTAAAAGATATAAAAGTATTAACAAATAAAAAAAAATCAATAATTATTTTGTCAAAACATCTTTCAATGCACATCAGACATAACCAGTTTAAAAAGTTGCAGTGCATAAATTCTTTCAATTTTTACTTTATTTGATTAATTTTAAATACTAAATAGAGTTGGTGGTGGTCAAGCATTTTTAAAGACATGACTTAACAGAAACCTTGCTCACATTAACTTATTTTACTTAGATTTTTCTTCAGAAACGCAATGACACGTAAACATTTTGAAATCACATATTTATGCTTGTTTAAAGTGATGCAAATTCACTTCAGCAATTAAACTCAAAATTGTGTGAAAATTAATTTTTCTAAATGACGAAAAATAATGATGTAAAAAAAATATTCTTGAAAGGTTTTTTTAAAAATATCGTTTGGTTTAAATCGCGTTGGTATAAACCAGTCAACTCAACTCTGCATTAAAATTATTCTCAGTAATCGTTCTTGGTAATAAGATATGAAATAAATTTTTCTCTAAATACTTATCTGGTTACTTAAGGCTGTATTTACATAAAATAATTATTGTAAGACATAAATTATTATTATGTGTAATTATTATATGTCGCTTTAATATCAGCATTAAAACAAGAACACTAACTTTGGGATATACCCAAACCACTATAGTTTGTCCAAAGTAAGAACTCCCCTAGCCATTCGTCTGGACCTGTGGTGGGGATTATGATAACGAGGTATAACTATTTCAAGTAAGGTGTGGGGTCATTGTTTAGGACAGGTTTTGGCTTGGGTCGGCGAACGAAAGGGAATCTTTTTCTTTAGTCTACTGTGTTGGCCCCTAGAGTGAAGAGAAGCTACCCTCGCTGAATTGCGCTACCCTTGTTTTCATAGCAGCAGACGACCTCAGACTTTTTTCGAGGGAGTTCTTACAGTAGACTAAACTATATGTTACTTGCAGGTATCCCATTGGGTACTTGGAACTCGAAAGGAAGTGTAGTGATTATGCTTAACCACGTGATTTAAACCAAAATTACTTGGATATCTGTAAGCTAAACCTGATTGGCTTCCGAATCAACATATGCCACGATGACGTTACTTTTAGGTATTCAATGGGATACCCGTAAGTGACGTAGTGTGGGTATCTCAATCCTGATTGGTTGCTGAAACGTGTCGTTTATTTTCGTTAGAAACTGCTCTTCCCGTTCTATTTCGAGTACCAAGCCTATCAAGTATCAATTCTGTAAAGTGACAGATTTTGTATTCCTTTCTATTTTCTTCTTCTCAAAGTGCAAATACCCAATAGATAGAAGATATTTGCTGAAAACCCAAGATATTGGTAAAATAGTACGAATTCATTTAGGAGAAACATAAAAATAGCCATGCAATTTTTGACACCTAAGATGATTAATTAATTAAATTGCCACCTTCAAGAACCCTCAGGGGTCCCGCTCCAGAGGTAGACCACCTACACGATGGCTCAACGACACCGAAAACGACCTCAAAGTCCTAAAACTTAAGAACTGGAGGGGAGTTGCCATGGACAGAGGGAGCTGGAGAAGGCGTGCTGTTGAGGCAGCCAAGGCCTGCAAAGGGCTGTTGCGCTCCTGAAGAAGAAGANCTGCTTATTATCTAGGTAATCTGCCAGATGCCTAGATAATCTGCTAATTACATAGGCAGTCTCCTCTTTACACAGATAATCAGCACATTGCCTACTAGGTACTCGTCAAAGTGGGGATAAAGCCTTTGCTGCAATTAATTCTGCTAATAGGTAATCTGCTAATAACCTAAGTAATCAGCTAATTACCTAGATAATCTGCTCATTACCTAGGTAATCTGCCAGATGCCTAGATAATCTGCTAATTATATAGGTAATCTGCTATTTCCACAGATAATCAGCACATTATCTACTCGTCAAAATGGAGATAAAGCCTTTGCTGCATCAACAACGTTTCTATACGCTTAAATTAACATAACATTAGTTATTTATTTTTCGATATCTATCGAATCGAATTAATACAATCAACAAATTAGATGATAAAATCAACCATGAATAAATTTAAAAAAAAAAACACTATTAAATTATTTATAATATATTTATTTATATGTAACGAATCATGTCAGTCAAACGTTCCACAAAGGAGTTGATAGTATAGAAGCTTTTGAATTTTAACGACACAAAAGCCGTTAATGTGTACACTCTTTAGGCGGAAAATTCTTGATGTGTATTTTTGAATTTTAGATACTTAGGACTCTGAAGTACTGCTGGAGTATTTCAAGCAGCGAAACTCTGTTACCGGGAGGCCTCCACTCTTTTGAGTTACTCAATACTAATCCAATTTGATTGGCAATGTTATCGGCAGTACTATAGTATTCTTTATACTCTTCAGCCACTTCTGAAAAATAAAAACAATAATAAAATGCGTGCCAAATATTCTCCAAACAAATTGAAAGCATCAAATTGCAAATATGTGTTAGCTGAATCAAATAATAGGGTCCGATCCCCGACAAGATGTTTTTGGATTCCGCTTAAAATTTCTTCACTTTTGAAAAATTCATCGTTTAATGGTTGTTAATCTTTCAACTGTTAATTTTTAGGTTAATTTTAGGTTAATAATTTTTACGTGAACATTACTTTCAGAATAAAAAGTCGAAAATCTAATCTGATCTGAAGTATCTCAGAAAAAAAAAAATGCAATTCACGATTTTTGCAGCCTTGTGGTATATCTACTTTAAAAGCATCAATCAAATTCTCAATTTGTTAATGCATATTTTATATGAATTTTTGTTTTGAAGAAAAAGTGACGAAAAAGTATTGTCGTTGCAGCGCTGGAAAATGTTTCGTATTAAAAGGAAACTAGTGGGTTGCGCCCCCTGCTCGCTAACGCTCACCAACCCCCGAAAATTGCTACGCAATCTTTTATGGTTTGCTTCGCAAACCAAGCTCGCTTCGATTGCTACTAACTATTACATTGCAAATGCACAAAATTCTAAGAAT